GACAGACACCTGTACAAAATACTTGGACAAAAGTCAGCTAAGATTTTCTGTTATCTTGCATGTTTTATGAATCTATTCACGTCTAAATGCAGCACTTTTTTTTTTTGCGATGAGGCATTTGTTTTTATACTAAAATATCTGAATTACTTTGAATAAAGCTGGAAATTATGTCCCTTAAAATAATTAAACAAATAAGGCACCAATGTTTTTGTAAGATATTTACATCTTTAGAGGACATTCAGTAGACTGATTCCCCACTGTTGGTTCAACCCCAAAACTTGTTTGTATTCAAAATTAATTATGACAATGCATATTTATATTGAAACAAACTATGATAAAGGGAATTATATTATATAACAAAGGGCGAGGTCACCAGAGTTCAACTATGTTTTTTTTCAGGGATTAAAAAAGATTAGTTCAACAGTACAAAGCAGCACCGATAGATATCGCCTACTCTTGTCAGATGGACAGAGAAGTCATTCTGGTAAGTTTTCTGCTGAAGCCAAGTGGAAAATTGCATTTTCAGCTTTTCAACAAAAATTATAGCTCAAAACTGAATTTGACTTCAAAATAGATCACACAGTATATATAGGACATTGGCCATCACACAGTACTTTATTTTGTTAGTCTATGCACTGGCAGTCACACTCCTTCTAATTGTCGTACAGATAATTCATCGAGAGTCCGTTGGTAGGCATGTGATATCCAGATTCGACTTCTACCGAGCTGGACTACCAGTGATGGCAAACAGGGACTGTACATTGTCACTGTTTATATTTCGTTGCTCTTAGCAACCTTGTGATCACTAATTTTGAAGCCTGAATTGTTGTATGATGTGTGACTAATTGAAAAATATGTACATTCGTATAATATATAGTGGAAACAAACTAAGACTTTGTTTACTCCCTCTCATGTAATTATTTGGTTTTATATTTCAGCCATGTTGGCAACCCAGTTGAACAAAAAAGTAACAGATGGAGAGTTATCAGTGAGGAGTGTTATCCAGTTGAATAAATACATCTGTAATACTATAGCTGATAACAAGTGAGTCCCAAATAACCAACTTTAAATTTCTTAAAATTTTGTAAGTGTGACTCGTCTTGCCGAGACACTCGCGCAAACCCTGCTGGTGTACGCTGAAAGTACCTTGAGGTGAGAAATTCTTGTATGCTGTTTGCAAGGTTTACTTTTTTTGGCACTTACGGCTTGCCAGGGTTTCCATTCAATGTTGCTTAGTGGTCTATTGCTTTTGATGTGTTCATTGTACTAGGTACATGCTTGAAATCTCTTCGGCATGTTGGTCAGTCACAACAAATGTAACAAAAGTAAATCCCAGTTTTTCCAATATCTACTAAAAGTTTAATTGTCTGCTAATTTATTTAAAAATTGTTAACACATTTTGTAAAATAAACCAAAATCAGAACTATTTACTGTGTTTCTGTGATTCAGCACATTTGATAACATAAAATATTCCATGTTCAACATTTGCTTGGATGTGTAGCAGCTACTAATATTATGAGTTCCCTTGTATACCATGTATGAAGTTGGGAAAAAAAACAAGACAGAAAAACGTAAGGGGTTTGTGTTTCCTACTCAAAGGGCAACTCACTTCACATTAAATTTTGATTAAGAATAGTGCATTAGAAATGCCAGTATACTTGGTAATATCCTGTGATGCTGAAAACTTGATCACAGCCGAACTTACGTAAATACTGGATAATGTTCATCTTGTTTGCAAACAAATTATGACTGTGAATATTGTTGCATTTGATATATGGCATATATAGAATCAACAATACAACTTTAAGTGATCTGATCAAAGACTAACATCACCAAATGGTTAGTTGTATCTAGTTTGTACTATACCAGCCCGAAACTATCGCTGTTGAAAACAACATACCAAATTGTTCTTCTTTTTTGTAGACGAGTGATCATCATTTTAGAAGTTAATTTGATTGCTGGTCAGAATCAAGTCCAGGATAAGATTGGCAACCCAGTACCCATAGGCCAGCCAGCTCCACCAGGTTAGATTCATCATGTCATTGTTAACCCATGCCAGAACACATGCTTATAGATTACACTTAATTCATAGTCATAGTTTGATTTCATTCAAACTTGGCATGAAGTTTGTAACCTATTTTGATTCTTTTATACATATGCACCAACGGGTGGCCATTTCTACATCGAAAACGACCTCAACATGCAAAACTTAACATGTCCAACAATTTCGCAAGCATGCTGCTGAAACCTAATACAATAACAACATATATTGGCTTCCTGGGACATCTGAGACTTTGCATGAGTTCTGCATTTTAGTCACTGGCAGAGGAATGACTATTAATTTTGGTTCTGTGTTCTTGCATGCGCATGGGCTGATTTTTTTTCAATTTTTTTTTTTTTTTCAATTTGGGGAAATATGGCTGTTTAAAGGCCATTTTGAGCCTGGAATAGGCCTGTAATCAGTGTTTGGTGATGGCAAGGTCAAATGCAATCAAGCGTATCCAAGCCAGTGGCCATTTTTTCCTTTGTCCTATCTGTTTCACTGGGTCAAAAGTACTTTCTAAATGATTTTGAACTTGAAATGATTACTGAGCTTTACAACGTCAACAATATTTTGTTTTTTATTGCTGTAGCTCAACAAAATGGACAGGCACCACATAATGCACAAACAGGTCGAGGTAGGTTTGGTTATGTAATATTGCATATTTTTAGTAACTTAAGGTTGTATGCGCGGAAATGCACTTCGCATACGTTCTGCGCATTTGAAGCAGACTTTCAAGATGGCTGCCACAACAAACAAGTACGCTTCGCGATCGCCGAATGCACGTAAATTTAAAGGATTTTTGACCGAGAAAGAGAAGAGAAGAAGATTGGCAGATATCTAGGCGATCCGCCAACATAAGAAAGTTGCTGAAGTAGTTTTAGAATCAAATTCAGGTACGTACGTACGGTGTCAGTATACGACGTAAACTTTGGTTGAGTCGTCTGCAACTGTTATCCACAACTTGAATCAATATATTTTCGCATTTTATTTGTTTTTATGAACATCGGATTATGCTTATTTTGGGGGAAACAGTGTTTATTTTTTCCTAATTCCTGTTTACAGAAATTGTGATAAAAAAAATATTTGACAACGAAGTTTGTCTGTCGCGTCGTCTGCAGCTTTCATTATTTATGACGAGGTGCCTTCAACGCGAACTGGTAATTTTAACTTTACGTACAAAACCCTCAATTTGAGGGCATGATTGTCCTCACACTTCCATATAACCAAGGGGAT